ATCTCCATCACCTGCGTGCTTTCACATTGAGCAGCATTAACTACACAGAGCCGTTGTTCACTGATGAGCTGCGCAAAAAATCGCGCGAATATGAACGTGGTTTTGCGCAGCTCGTCAGTAAACAACGGCTCTGTGTAGTTAATGCTGCTCAATGTGAAAGCCCGCAGGTGATGGAGATTTACCGCTGATTACAGAACCGGCTTTACTGATAAGATGCGCATTAAATATCGCATGCGATTAATCATGCAGCCCTATAAATAACTAAATAAAATATTAATAAAAACTATAACAGTGTCTGATGATACTAAAATAACACTGGTACAGTCAAAGCATAACATAAAATAAAATGCATAAAATGTTTAAGGAGGAAAATAAAGGATTGTACAGGATAAATCATTACAGAAAATAATTAACGGGTGTAATATCTAAAATAATTAAATTAAAATTAAATTAAAAATGTAGTTAAAATTAAATTATTATTATTATTATTATTATTATTATTAAAACAATTTGTCTTAAAAAATACTTTCCTATGAACATTAATGGTGTGCAACTGAATTTCCCTGCAGTTTCAGCAGATTTGAGCACCATGTAGGTGGCTCTTCCCTACGGCTGCCAGTCTAGCTTGGCAGGGATCTGATATGCCACGTGTCTCATATATTGAGATGCTGACGGAGCAGCACAGATAGGACAGCAAAGTTCAGCTGGCACTGAAACTGGCCAGTGTTTTCTGACATTTGGACAAACAAACACCCAAGTGTCTTCATTCTGTAACGTTTGTCTGACTGAGCAACAGTAACTAAGGGGCCGGAGCATTGCAGACATCAATTGCTGCATGAGAAAATTACATGTAGTAGATCAGAACTATTGTATATGGAGGAAATGACTGTACAAGACAGACCTCCTCGATGCACTAATGTAAGTCGACATCTGGATTTATAGACTGAGACTAGTTCAAGAAATCCTAGTCTAATTCTCAAAGGTTTGACGCCACCGTAAACAAGACATCCACTGAATCTGTACCAGCTCTATAAACATTATAATGCCAGATAATCTCAATTCTGTAACATTTTTATCGTCTTTATGATCCTCAATGGAAAGCAATGCTGTAGTCATGCTTGAGGGTTAATTTCTTGCAGTCTTCTCCCAAGAGATGCTCTGGACAACCGAACAAAGATGATTTATCTGAAGAATGAAACTCCATGGGACGGTGTGACATTGACGGCTATGTGCCAACAATGACATGGTCTCATTTCTATTCCTCCGTCAGGACGCGCCTCGGCACCAACTTAATGTGATTAGACTAATCTAATTAGCCAGAAACAATCAATGCACCGGGCAGGACCCCAGTCTGAGATCCGTGAGTCTTTAACAGATACTGGATGATACCATCACAATCTACACATACAGATACTATACAGACTGCAGTCTGTCAACTGCTTGTATGTACAGCTCAGTTTTAAATTAAAACAACTATTAAAGACAGTTCACCCAATGTTCATCATTTACTCACCCTCATGTTGTTTTAAATCTGCACGTTGTTTCTATTGATTTTGTGGAAAACCAAAGGAGAATTTTTGAAAAATGTTCACTTTCAAGAACTAAAAATCAGCATAACAGCGCCATAGTAATCCATATGATTAGTTTGTTATATGCCAAAACATCTGCAGCCATACAGTCCTGAAATCTCAATACTACAGACTGACACTGATGCTGGAAGAGAAACAATTCTCAAATAAAAAAATCACACCAAATATAATACAAAATGTATGAAGAAGAACATAATGAAAAAGAAACTGTATCATAAGCTACGAGGTGGAAAAAATGAACTGTGTTAGCAAATAGCTGCGTAGGAGAGGAACTATTTCTCCATCCACTCCTCTGAACACAGGATTCCAAAAGAAAGACAGAGCCGTCCAGTAGTGAAATATTTATCTGCTTATGCCTAAAAATAAATAAAGAAATAAAAATAAATAAAGAAATATTGTTGTTGTTGTTTTTGTAAATAATAATGCTTATTATTTTTATTTATTAACAATTACTTAATAATATTCATAACAATTAATAATAATAATACATTATGTTCTATAATTGTTAATAAATGAAAAAGTTAAACAATACTAATAATACTAATACTAATATTACTACTACTACTACTACTAATAATAATAATAATCTGTATCAGTTACTGTATGTTAATAATGATTTTTTAAATGTTAAATAGCTCGCCATAAATGTGTTTATTAAAAAACCACTTTCCACTCAATAGTACTGGTATCAATATATATATATATATATATATATATATATATACATACATATATATACATATATATATATACATACATGCATACATACATATACATACATGCATGCATACATATACATACATATACATATATATACACATGTATATACACATATATATGTATATACATACATATATATGTATATACATACATATGTATGTGTATGTATATGTATATGTATGTATATACGTACGAAGTGACAGGAAGCTATGTGGGAGAGAGAGGGTGGCGGGATCAGGAAAGGTCCTCGAGCCGGGATTCGAACTCGGGACGCCTGTAACGCAACGGTATGACATGTCGTCACACTGCCCTCAATGCTATCAGTGCCGACTTACTGGTATCAATATTGAAAATATTAGCCTCTACAATACTTGGTACTGTATTGAAGGGAAAATTCACTAATAATCTCCCCCTCTACTGAAGCACTCAAATGATGTGCCATCAACAATGGTCAATTTCAATGCAACACGTCAATGCAACAAATGATATGAAGAAAAAATGATTTGGAACAATCTGAGGGAGAGTAAATCATGCCAAAATGTTCACTTTGGGTAAACTAATCTGAAATCAAAACACTTTTTTACCTAAACTCAAAACACTTTCTCACATTGCCACATTTTGCACATACTGAACATGCATTTGTACATAAACTGATTG